CACTACGCCACCAGGCTGGTTTGTGCTCAGCGACCCCCGGGAGACGCGCGCTGCGGCCGGGGACACAGCCTGAGGCACGGCACCGTTCCCACCGTCCCTTCCGTAGCTCTGCATCAGCTCAGAAACCACATTTCTACCGCAGCTCCCACGCGACTGAGAATAAAAAATTTTGGTTAATTGCTCGAGCCTTCCTATTTTCCAACACGTCTCTTTCAAGACTGCTAATTCTAAGTTTTCTTCTTGTTTTGGCAAACTATTTGCATATAAAGTTTGTGTTTGTAGTTTTTTCCAGGACTGTAAACAAATTAAAGAAATTAAATTGTTATTTTATGAATTAATACAATAAAGGTATTTTTATTTACATAAATGTTACATTGTTACTGCGTGGATACATGTGAATTATGTGCTATATCAATAAAATCCAAACACTTAATTGTACCATTCTCTAATAATTTAGCTGTGGAGTTTGATTTACTGAAAGCCACTAACAAAATTGCACTAGAGGGTTTTGTTTTATAGAGTGGATAACTTGTTTGTTTTTGTCTTTTCTTCTTTTTCCCTTAAAGCCACATATAGATTGTTGACTTCTCACACACATCAGAGATCTGAACCCGGGGAGTTTCACTGTTCTCCGGCAGGAGACATGCGCAGCCTCTGACGTGCGCCTGGCGCTGCCGCTCGCCTCCGAGACCGAGTGCTCGGCGTGTTCCCCTCCGGCCCTGCACAGCCTCGGCGAGTCTTTCACAGTCACAGCGATTTCAGTTTGTGTAACCCCCAAGAAGGAACCCTCAGAAACTAAACCCCCCTTGGAGGGAGGTGTGGCTGCCGGCGTCTGTCCTGACTCCAGGAATTGCACTGCAAACATTCACACGTAGCCTGGCTGTGACACACTGTCAGTTATTTCTAAATTCAGGTACCTTAAGCAAACGTCGCTGTTTTTACCTCGCTGCTCGGGCAGCGCAAAAGCAGCTTTGCCAAACACAATCCCCAGAGCTGGAAGTTATAATTCATTCATTTTTCCCCTCCATACCCTGGCAGGAATTTCTCGAAGGTGCATGTTGTCGGGAAGGGCAAAAGTAAATGCTAAACAGAAGAAAGAAGCAATACATTTTCAACACTGTTACAATGACAGTGCAATAGTCAGTTCTCGATTTTCTTTCCACTACAGAACCTTTCTTAGTGCAGTTAAAGTACAGCCAAAAAAAAGCCAACAAACCTGCTTTGGAAAAAAGCCAGTTTGTCCAGTCTGGTCCATACACAGTCCAAGTGCGTGAAGCTATGGTCTGGGGAATGACAGAGACTCATGCAGCCTCCTTGTCCTCTCAAATTTATTGCTAATTACTAGAAATTTAATCTAATCAACCACTCCCGGTGAAGCTCATTGTACTGCAGCTATCCTAAGTTTCTTTTAAGCATGGTAAAAAAAAGTCCACAGCTAAAAATCTTACAGGTTTGAATTAAAACCAGGATTACAGTAACTTCCCCCGGCTCACAAAGCCACCACCTCGACAAGTGTGCAAAGAGGATTAAGGACGAACACTTTCCTTTAGAGAAGAACAGACAAGGCAGATAACAGACGCGAGGCAGAACTGCTGACGGGAGATGGCTTTCGTGTTTGGGCAAGACACGGTTCCGCCGCGCTCTAGAACTCCACGCCTCCTTCGGCGACAACGTCTGCCGGGATCTGAACGAGCGGTTCTGAAACACTGGCTTAAACCGAAAACAGAAGGGAAGAAGAAATGAAGGCATTAAAACTCAGGCAACGTCTCAAGAGTTGATCATCTGGCAACACGGCTGACGGGATGGGAACTTGGAAACTTAAGTGCAGCATCGCGACCGGTGGAGGCCCTTTGCGAGAGGCCTGCGCGTCTCAGTCAGTCTCCAAATTAAAAAAACAAGGAAAAAAAGGAAAAGAAAAGAATTACAAAGGAATAGTCACACGATCTTTTTGATGCTGTGACGTTTGAAACTGCCGGCGCTCCGCTGCTTCTGCACCTGGCTGGCCGAGCCGTGGCGCATCCTCCCGCTGTTGGAGTGCCCGGCCGTGGGCGAGAGCTCCACGTTCTCCTTGTCGATCCCTGCGGGGACACAAGGACCAGGTTAAACTCCCCAGGACCAGGTTAAATCCCCCACAGACCAGGTTAAACCCCCGCTCCGGGCCGCCCTGCAACACCACCCGTCGCCGCCAGGGCGCAGAACCCGGTCATGCCGGACTTGTCAAAAATGTCCCTGGAGCGCTGGTGGTGCCACGGAGCCGCTCGCTTGTTCTTCCAGCCAGAACTGCTCTTAAACAGGTGAACGGAAGAGCCAGGAAGGCTCGTTTCTGAACTCCGCTGCAACGGCAGAGGCTGGTCCTTGCTATGTGTGTGTGTTCAAGTGCCTGCAATTCCCCTCCACGTTAAATCCACAAACACAAACACAAATCCGTGTTTGGAAGACTCTGTCTCGCTGCCAGGAGGAACCAAAGGCTCAGCTGGCTCACGTGGCATAGGCAGAAACAGAGGTGGTGCAGGTATTCATTTGAAGAGTTAAGTGTCAAAGCGTAGACACCAATTATAATGATTTAAACTCTGGCAAACTGAGAGTAAATAAATCAAAAAAATCATCAATTATCTTTTACCAGGGACAACTAAAGAAACAAGTTTTCATATTCATGTCTGAAAAGCTTTGGATGTTCTCTGCAGGACATGGTAAGTCTAGGTTTTGCTAAAAGAATCACATCAAACAAACCTCGAAAATGAGCTGCTGTGTACAAACATCATGCTGACACGATGACAGGACACGAAAGCCCCGGGTTATGAGGCGTTGCTTTAACATCAGGAACTTGAAGCTAGAAAAGCTGAGACTTGTGTTTAATGCAGACATGCTTCTAATCAATTAACACTTTCACGCTGACGTTACCATGAGCCAATCCTTGCTGCGGCAATATCTCAGCGTAGCTGTCACGTTAGTTCTGCAACCAAACGAGCGTGCTTGACGTGGGTTTGCAACACTCACCACTGACGGGGCACGTGCAGCACGGCAAGGAGTGGCAGGAAGGGGGTTTTTATGCAAGAGGCTAAAACTACAATCAGCAGCAAAAATTAGGATGTCCAGCAGTGAATGAGAAGGTTCAAACAAAATCCTATTACTACAAATGACATCTCCCACAGCTCTGCCTCACTCTTTTAAGAAATGGATTCTCTCCGGCATTATGAGAACCAAGAACTCGTTCCACGTTTCACGCGTGGACAGGGACAACCTCAGAGCTCCAGCCAGGAGCTGGCTGCAGGCTCCAGCATCCTGCCTCCCCTCATGTGGGTGTAAGCTCACAAAACCCACAAACTACAAGGAGAATAGGAAGCAACCCACGGGTGTGGGCAAAAAAACTTCTTCCGCATCTTTTTCTTACTTCTCCACACAGAAGTAGATACCAAATGGCGCTGAGTATCCATTTGACAGAGCTTCAGAGTGCTGCAGTTCAGTCCAAAGAAGTCACGTCTGTTTTCCAGTGGCGTGTAATTCAAGTTAAAGCTGACTTCCAGTGAATCAGAAGAGCTCACATGAAATAGTTCTTCATTTGAGCTTAATATCTGCAGCAGAGTAATTTCACATACCAAGCATCCACTTCTCTGACACCAAATTTATTCTTAAGGATGTGACTGACTTACTTTGCCTGCTCCATCACCAGGTATTATTAGCATCCCACGAGAAATGCAACACCTTAGCACTTAACTGTGTGCTGATGAAAGCAGAGCAACGTAGTAACCATGGGATGAAGGAGCACAGTGAAAAGCTCTGTGTTGTGACACCGTCCACAGTTCGAGAAAGCTGGAGATCCCCTGAGCAAACCCAAAGTGTTTGTATTCGAACTGCCAGAATGAAGCAAGAGTGCTCGAGGAAATAGGTAAAACGCTACAAATTAAGCGAGGATGGATGGGAAAAAACCATTTAGATCGAACACCAAGCACGAGGCTTTCCTAGAGCAGTAATGCCTTAAGGCTGCCTCACACTAGCTGGAAACACCTCCAAAGGCTGATTGCAAGAACGGACCCCTTGGTAATCTCACAGCCTTCATATCAGTCCTTTAAAATTTAATTTCCAAACAAACCAGGCAAAAATAAATTATTACAGACTCACTAGTACCGTGAACAAGTTCACTAGTTCCTAACCGCGCTCAGCGAGCTGGGCTTTGACAAAAGCTGTTGGTTTGCACAACACTTGAAAGAAATTTTTGATGAGCTGGATTCATTCCTTCCTCTTAGCTACAAAGGAGGAAGGAGTAGAAAGTGAGGAGTAAGGAAGGAAGACATTTACATAGTAAAAACTTTTTTTTGCTAGTAGAGGGCTTAATCCTGCATCATCACTTCATCCTCGCACAAAGAACTGCTGGAGTTGCCGCCGATGGCGCATTCCAAAGGGCGAGATGCTGCCCACAACATACGGACTTTCACAGCAAGAGTTTCGTTTTGAGTACGTTTAAACTGACAGGAACCTTCAAAGGTAATTCTAGAACATCAAGAAGGTGATCTCCCCAGATTTGAACTATTTAAGTTGGCTTCTCCTAGTGGAAAAAAGCGAGTTGTAATCACTTTTCACTGCATGAAATAAAACAATGAAATCACTGTTCCCAAATTACTCAAACACTTTCTTACGCTGTCACTCCTCTGCAGGCGCCTCACCCCTGCAACACTCATGGCACCGAACACCAGGCCCAGCATCTGTGGGCAAACTGGTCTGTGGGGCCAGATTTCCCGAATGGCACCAAGCACCGCTAAGCAGAGCTCACTTCGGGGCCAGCAGAAACCAGCAACCAAGGGAGTGACAGAGCCAAACCACCTCTGTGACTATCACACCTGAATACAAATGGTTTCTAGCCTTCCATCAAGGTTTGAAACGAAGAAGAAATAAAAGACTGATTGCTTCAGTGTACAGAAATGCAACGGTTAAATCACCATTTACGAAATATCACACGGTGTAATTTTTATGACAAAGAAGAGTAAAGATTCCTCCAATATACAAGACACTAATCCAAAATCACTTCAGAAAGAGTCTTCGTGGAGATCTCTGACATAAATTTCACTTTCTTCCCACGTTTCATTTCTTCTAGCTTACGCTTCATCTGCTCTACTGAATAATCCTGCCCTTCTTTTTCCTATTTTCACCTTGAAAATCTATGCTGTTAAATTTAACCTCTGCACTTCTCCCCACACCAGAAGGAATCCCCTCCTCAGCCCAGGTCCGGACTTTTCGCCCTGAAACGCGCTACCTGGCAGTGCCCAGATCAGTACTACTCTCCTTGCAAAGTGTCACAATTACATATTTATATTTATTATTTCTTGAGGCTCCACTGCTGCATATGTTCCATGCAAAGAAGATGCAGCCGTTGTTCATTCTGATGTACTTAATAATGCTATTTCCTTCATGAACAACGACTGAGAAGACAGCTTTTGTGCTGGATAAAATCCAACCTCTAAAATACCAGCGTAACAGCTTAGTCAACAAATTAATATTCATCTGTCTGAGGAATGGTATTCGATGCATAAAGACATCCCAAGAGATGATGAGGCTGAGGGTTTGGCTACAAAACCAGTGGGTTCAATGCATCTCCCTTACCTGGGCGGCCGCGGAACAGCTACTGACCTGGGGAGTGCTGGGAAGTGGCGAGCGAGGTCATGGAGTTGGAGAGGTTCAGGTTAGCGGTGATGCTGAGCTGGCTCTGCACTGCAGGAGGATACGGAGATGTGGGTGTCAGGAGAGATTCCTCACTGGCTTCCTCATCAATTCCAGGCAAATACGTGTCAATCAAGGCATCAAGAAACTTCACTATGAGCTCGGCATAGTCTGGGATTTGGGTTTGCTGTGGCAGATGGGGAAAAAAAAATAGTGAATTGGTTCTTTTCTTCCTATTTTGCTGTCAGTATGAGCATTGCCCCAGAACTCCAACATCACACGGTTTTTTCTTGAAAATTTTAAAAAGTGTTTGATGTGTAAAAACTGATTTGTGGTCTTCTCCACATTGATCTAAACGTACAAACGAAAGACCACGTGTAGGCGTAAATGCGCCTTACACACCTGACAGCTTTTACCCAGCTTTGGTAACTTGACCTTACCGGGTTTATGAAAATAGCCGACACAGGCTCAAAAATTGTTTCAGCTCCATAAGTGAGCCTTATATTACTAACTTGCTTATATAAATACTAATGCTTGTCGCTTAGCTGCATCTTTGCCTGAGCATCAACATACTTTATACAGAAAACAAAGGCAAAATGACTCAGGAATTTCAGAGTGTGCTGTTCTTACCTTAGAAAATGGGCCAGCAAACCTCCATAACCCATTAAATCCAAAACCTACAACAACAAATTGAGTGTTATCACAAAAACACAGTTCTCAACTGGAGGGGCGACAATGGATGTCCAAACCACATATAACGAAGTTAGGGCATTTTCAACAGTATATGAAATACATACGTTGTAAAAACCTCAAAACCTCAGAATCGTCACACAAGAAATTCTTGATATTTTAAAAGGTAAATTTAGCATGTGAGCACACATCTCCTTTGAAACATTATGTCAACACTTAGGTCATCTGTTTCCTATGGATTTTCCTGGAAAGTCTGTGATTAAGGACCATAAAAAAAATATTTAGACTTTAAGTGTTCAAGTGTCACATGAAAGTGAGCTTGGGCACTGAAATTCACATGTTACTCTGGAATTCACCAATAATTAAACTAATCCCTAACTCGCAAGGTTAACTTAAAACTCATAATTTATCACCACCGTTCACGTTTGGACTTCTCTAAATGGGTTAGTGGAAACAGAACGCTGAGTTTCAACTTCTTTTTACTCATGCAGATGGTGTAATACTTTCAATATTTGGTGCACCTGCAGCAAGCAGTCTCGATCTTCATGTCAGCAGGTTTTTCTTTTTTAACATGTGAACTCTTATTTGTATTAGGATGTATTAAGTTAGAGAGACGCCACACAAGACTGACTGACCATTCTATTAGGGCTGCAAAGGTGAAACATTTCCAGCAGTGAAACTATCTTAAAACGGAGCACTTTTTTTAGAAGTGGAAAAATATTTACTCTGCAGATAAGAAGTTTGGTACTGGGGTGGAGACTCTTCATGGTAGACAACGCTCTGAACGATCCCATGGATTGGATTCAACAAGTTTGGATCCTGGCACAGCGATAAAAGGGTATTGATCTTGGAGTCCAATAAATTATGCCTGAAGAAAAGAGAAGTGACTGGCTTTTTGTTCATTAAATAAAATAAATCTGCAGTTCCCAACTGACTTGAGCAAACCGCAGTTTAGACACTTACACGACAGGAAAGACCTTTGGGAAGACGACGCTGGCTTCTGCTAGATACTCATATAGGATCCGCTGGTCAAACTCATCAGTAGTGTACTTCACTAACGTTGCCTGTCAGAATGCAAAGGATTCAGTGAGCATCTGCTGATTTCACTGCAGGAGTTACAGGCTTTTGTTGTTGTAGTTTAAGGGTTTAAGACGCTTCAGAAAGCATTACAAAATATTAATTTTTTTGGACATGGAATCAAGTTATTTCATGTGTATGTGGGGAACAATATAGAATTGGCAACAGCTTCTATTCTGGCAAGAAAAGAAAAAAAGTTAGCCAGTGTTTGACAAAAGTAGGTGACTCGGTCTTTCTGCACTCTATCAGGAATGGGAACTGTATTGGTACACCCGAACAAAGCACTCTCACTCTGTACCTACACTGATACCAATTTTTAAACTGAATTATGCTGGGATTCCAGCCATTTTCACTACTTAACTTTTCAAGTATAATGTATTAATATCCTTTTGTTATATACCTTACTATTATATTATTATACTTACTATTATATTATTATAAACCAATGATTCTGATCCATATGAACCGAGAAACACTGCAAGGAACACACACGCTTCTTTGAGAGATAAAAGAATATCAGAGAACAACAGAAAACACACAGAAAGCTTACAAGAACTGTAAGCAGCAGTGCTTGAATCTTTGGGTCAGTCAGAACTTCTTCATCTAGGAGGACGTTTGACTCAGAAACAGAAACTTTTCGAAGATGGGAGTGTTGCTGTGGTGATATCCTTTGGGTTTCTGGCAGATAAAAAGAAAAAAAGAGCAACTCATCCCAAGCCAAACAAAACCCAATGCAAACAAAAATTAGCTCTTGCCCGATGAATTCCGTCACGTGCCAACTCCAGAGTTCACGGAGTATAGAAGCAGCACCTGTGCTGCACCGCCAGCAGCGCTAGACCACTACATGGGATGTGTTCTCAGATGGCAAACAACAACCCCAATTTCCTCATCAGCGCGATACAGGCCCAGGGGCGGGGGATCCCCCCGCGGGGCGCGGGCAGCCCCAGCCGACCGCAGATGCGACGGGCCAGCCCTGGTCTTGCATCGCAATTGGGGGTGGGGGCACAGGAAGCAGATGTGGGAGAAGATGAAGAGAGGCATTCTAGGCATTAGGTCACGTTCCATCTCCTGCGGCAATTTGTGGCTGGGGCTCATGAACTGCTAAAAAGCCAGATTTTACTTATTTCACGTCCCTCCTGCGTGCAGTACTTTACGGCTGCCCCTTGCTCTGTCCCTGCAAACTGAGCAGCTGACCCTACTTCAGACCTCAGCTGCCAGCGATAGGGAACGCTGTCCTTTCCAGAAGCTGCTGTTAAGAAAGATGCTTCTCCCTTACCTTTTAGTAACCTAGGCAAATACACATCGAATTTAGAAAGAATCCTTTGTATGTAGATACAAAGCATTTATAATTAGTATTATTCTTAAAATGTTAGTCCTGTTTCTCACCCATTTCATAATCATTTTCGGCTACTCTCCTCATTTTGGGAGGCGTTGTGATTCCAGATTCCATGTCTTGCCTTTTAGGAGCCTTTGTGTCCGATATCAAATGGTCAAAACTTTTCCTTGTACCTAAAAACAATTTATTAGGCAATTAAAAACATTAAACCCAAATCCGTATTCTAACTTTTTTCCTGATTTTCTGGCCAAGCTACTCTCCTATCTACAACATATTGATAGGAATCTAGGGACATTTTCACCATTTCCAGGGATGGCAGAGAAAAATACGATCACACCATGCCGCTCTCCATCACAGTTTCCAAAGTGCTTCACGATACGTATGAGGAAAGCATGCAAGTTACTCAAATATGTAGCTGTGGGCATGCTATGGTTTCCTAGTCAACACATCACATCGAATAAACATGCCAAAAACTGTGACTACTGAAAAGGAAGCAGTAATAGGATAGTGATGAAAGAAAGGCCCCTCCTCTTCCATATGTACCGCATCACGAAAGAGCGCACCCAGGAGTTACACAAAGCAACTCATCCTGTTTCTCTGACATGGAGACTTTGCTTGCAAACACGATGCACTGAGAAGCCATGAATAACCACCAGATTGCTTACAAAATATCTAAAATGTTTTGGGACCATCTTTCCTAACATAAGGTAGAGTATTCAACCTAGCAGCTAGGCTACGGTGCTCAGAGTCTCAGCTTTGTTGAAAGAGGGTTGGTGGCAGGAAAGTTGCTCTATGAATCTTTAGCACCTAGGGATTTTTATTTTTTTTTTTCATTTTTTCCCTTTTTTCTCCACTTCGACAAGCACACTTTGAGTGCCACTCTTGCCTCTCCCACTTCGTGATTAAAAGAACCCTGTTAGTCCTCCTTACAGTGTTCTGCAAGTTGAATTTTGTAGCAACTGCATGTATGCCCCTGAATCAGGACTAAGCAATTAACATCAGAACAAATACAAGTTTTCTCCAGTAACGCTTCCTGGGATATTCTGCAGAAAAGTTAGCAAATGAGTTATCTTAATAACCTAGAAGCTTTTTAGTGTTCGCTTGTGAAGGCTGCCCCATATCCAAACTCATGGATTTTCGTGTTCGAGGGCTGATCTGTCCCACTGTTGGGTAACTGGCAGCCAGATGTCTGTCTGACCCCTTTGGTGATGACCACGGTTGATTTTCCTTTAGTGTCCTGAAAGTGCAGAGAAATTAAGAAAATTTTTAAAATTGTGCACATTTAAGCATATATTTTTCAACTAGCCAAACTCTCCTTCATTAAATCCACCTTTCCTAACAGATCTCCCAAACCCACGGATTAAGAAATAGTAACTACTCCGCTTGCAGAAACGTCTGAAGTAGTGAACACTAACAATCTGATATGACTGTGATACTGAAGAGATAAAAAATAAAGCAATGGGAAATACACAAGCAAATCAGCCTATGAGGCAAGACAAAAGATATTTAACAGCCAGTGACTCCAGAGTGGGTGCTAAAGGGAGAGATACTGAGAGAAGAGCTCCCTGTTGAGAGAAACTGTCTCCTTCTGTCAACTCCCAGGTTGACACCACGAGGTGTCAAGATTTTCCAACTACAGGGACCAAGCGATTACTTAGTACATGTCCTGAAGCTCTTCAAAGGACAAACACAATTTTCTTCTAAAATGGAAATGAAAAATGAAATGAAATTGGGTCTCACAGAAAGATGTTGGCAAGAAGTTTAACACCTCCAAAGAGGTTAAGCTCTGAAATAGCTTTACAGATCTAAAAATTAAATCTCTGTGAGTTCAGCACCCAAATTTCTCTGCAAGTCTTAATCATAGGGCAAGTAGCATTATCACCCTGGAATCAATAACAGAACATTAATTTCACTTTATGACTGTGGGCTTTGGGCTTCAATATACCACAGGTTACCTTGAGATAACTTCCTATAAGAAACAGACATTGAAATTTGGGTAATTTATCTAAAAGCCAGACAACCAACCTATAGTTAGTGTCACTGTGATGTATGGGATATGTATCCATAGGAACATTTTCCATTGAAACATCTGTCAACAAGAGAGACTTCCTATGTTTTAGGCTGCAGCGACTTCGAACTTCCTCAGATACTGTCAGCAAAGCTAAAAATTCAAAGAAAGCTAATGTAAGTTTTCCACAGTAAGAATACATTGAAGAATGCAAGCAATACTCCATCAATTTAAATATTTGACAGTACAAAGACCACCATGAGATCTAATTACACCTTACTGAAATGTACCGATTCAAACAAGGTCATTAAAAAAAATCACATTCCCCATCCAGCTACAATTACGTGATGTACACATCTGCCCTCACATGGTCACAATCTCTGTTTCTAGACCCCTAGAAATTTGTATGTTCTAAGGCACACCCTTCAGTATCTAAACCAAGAAACCTTCAGCCTCCCTGCAGTATTTTCCAAGTTGCACAGCACGTCCTGCGCCGACAAAGCTTCAGCCCACAAAAAGCTTTCAGGGATGTACCCAGCTCAGCCCCTTGTCTGTCTCAGTTACAAGGTTCCTTTACGCTGGTACAATTCTATCAACTCAAAACCTTAAGAATTCCCACAAGAACCCATTCGTTTTCAGTCAGCACCAATTTAACAGAATGCCTCGTTGTTGGCTGGTACCTGCTAGGTAAGCCACGCTCTGGGTGTTCACCTCAAACTTGTCACAGTTCCTGTGCTTGTTAACCAGCGCCAGCAGCGTGTGTAAAATCCTCACTGTTCTTGCTACAGTGGTAGGAGAAGGATGCCTGTACCCTAAGAAATGAAGTTGAGAACCAATTATTGTCACATAATTTCAAACGTCTGTGTGCATTTCATATCTATTATCTCATAAACCAGTCTTCTAAAAGAGTGAGCCTGAACCCAGGCATACGCACTGAGAAAGTCAGTGTTCGTGGAGAAGATGTAAAGAACTGTGGCAAATGAAGCCACACACCTTGTGACAATTCAGAATTGATACCACTAGCACTAAGGACCTTCACAGGACATGTACAAAGGAAACCCGGCAGTCTTTTAGTCAAAGAGCATTTAATTCTGTATCTGGTCTATAATCCAAATTACTCAAAATCCACCACACATTTTTTCCTCCTTTATCCTTGGGCTTGTTTTTATTTCTCAATTAAGAGCGTTCATTTCAAACGAGCAGCAGTATGTACTCAAACGAGCAGCAGTATGTGCTCAAACGAGCAGCAGTATGTACTCTTACCTTTCAGGAGGTGTCCCACTAGTGCAAAGTTAAAGTTGGAGTTGAAATTGAGCCCAACAAAATGATCCATCTGCTTGCAGTGCCATTCGAGTGGTCTCCTGATCTCCATGAACACCTCTTCTGGGCTCTGACCCAGAAAAAGTAAAACACAAGAGTACCTCATCGAATCTTACTCCTCGTATCTCAAGTTGCTTTTTGTTTAAAACAACCCACACTCCTGAATAGAATACATTATTATTACGGAATTATTATTATTTCTGGAACAGAAATATCTAAGAGCTTAATCTCCACATTGTAGTTTTACTGTTGATATTACCCAACTGAAACAATTTCTAATGCAAAATTCAGTTTTAGTTGCTTACCTAGTGTCCCTAAGGACAAAGAATATTTTTTCTTTTTTTAACAGATCTAACTGCTTACAGCAACTCAGGGCTAATCACAGCTGCTGGCTAACAGCTCACCTTGTCGTTGAACACTCGAAGGCTATCCAAGGTGTGCAGGTTCTGTTCAAGCAGAGCTGTACCTGCTGAGTACAAGTTTACTTCATCGAGCTGCAGGACTGCCATGGCCACCCAGAAGAGAGCCTTGTGCATAGGGGAATCCTGGAAGGAAAAAGAAAAAAGCCACGATTTTACTGTCAAGTCAGTTCCTGGAAGTGAGAGACAAACAGGACTGACACAGGGTCCTGCCCAGGACAGCAGGGGCTGTCCCCGACCACGTCTGTTCCAGCAGAGCAGACGTTCTTATGAACCTGCAGCCTTCATGCACTTAACACGGGAATATAGAAAGTCCCTTAGTTTCAAGCCATTTTCTGCCCCCAAGCCATTCCTTCTGTCCTACTCCTTCCCTTACTCACAAAAAGGTCAGACTCCTATGACCCTACACCAGACTGGACAGAAATAGGTTTTCACAGCACCCACTGAAAATGGATCGCAACTCCGCACACCGAACCCGCCAGGCAATTTCTTCTCCAGATCCAAAAGCCTGCAAGAGCAAGTAGCAGATTTTTCTGGGACCAGGTTTTATTTACTCACAGTAGGTACACGGGGCTCTTCCCTACTGGCGTACCAGGGGGTACGCTGCTCAACCAACGTGAAAGTAACACGCGGCAGGCCAAAGCAACGGCACATCATGTCCGACTAACGTTTAATACGAGCCGTGAGCTGCAAGGCGTGTAACACATTGGAAAGCCAAGACTGAAAACCTTTTGGAAAGAATGAGGACAGGCTGTGGCAGAGCCCCTGCCCGCAGCGCCGTGCCCCAGTTCGCCGAAGCAGAACGGCACATTCTGGAGCATTTCTGAAGGCTCTGCGCGGGTCCCACGGACAAACATCTGACACATTTCCCATATGGAGAACTTCCGAGCATGAGTCATCGCAGCTGAGTGTGAACTTCAGATACCACAACACTTACTTATACTTTTGAAATTATATCCACAAGTATAATTTTCATTTACAAAACATATCCTCTCTTTACTCTAAAAATCCAGTTGTTTACCTTATTAAGGAGAGGCTGCAGCTTGGTGAGAGCTATAACTGTAGCTTCTATTAGAACCTGGCTGTTGTAATTATCGGGGCCTTTTAAACAGCTCTCCAGTCCCTTTTTGTAGAAAAAAAACCGAGAGTAATTAAATACAACCATAATTACATTTTGCTTTGTAAATACAGGATGAAAGCTCTAAACAATAATTGTCACTCTCAGTTAGTTTACAAAGCTTGAGCTCATTTTACATCAATTCTTAAGGACTTTTCCAAAGAGATTTACGCAGAAATGATATATGTATTGCTGAAAGCAATTGCACAATATGTATCTAAAAAGTGAGGGTGCAGGACAGGGTAGGAGAATTAGAGAATAGCTGCTCTTTTACAATTCAGATGCTGTTCATTTAAAGTTTGTGTGCATAAAACTCTAATAAAATGCTTAAAATACACATATTTAGCACATTGCTTACTTGCTGTGGAATACAGCCTTCTTTAGGAAATATGGAACATCATGCCCAAGCTAGGCAGTCTATTTTGAAGTTTTCTTTTATGAATGTCCTGCTCTTTACTGCATTTACTTATAACACAATAAATCATTAACTTTCTTTAAAATAAACAAAGTTGTGAATCATGTGCAGGCAGCTAAATGCCCTAACAGAAAATATCTCATTTGTTTAATTACTGACTCGTGAATCAATGTCTCAAATTTTAAAGTCAAGGTGGAAAATTATTGTTACTCTAGAAATTGCAGCAGTGATGAAACCTACTGCCACCAACTGAGTTTGAATTAAAAGCCTGGCCTACAAAAAGCGTATTTCCAATCAGTCAGTTCTATACAATGATAAGCTTGAAAAAATACTTATCCTCAAACTATGCTGAGTTCTATATTTGATGGGAAGATAAAGCTAAAAATAGCTAAAAGAGCTATCCTATGAGTCACAAAGGAAAACAGACATAGACCCATCTACCTTGCTTAGGATTCGGATTATTTGTTTTATCTGTCCGTGAGAGACACGTTTGCTGATACAGCCGAAGACAACAAGTGCTCTGGGCTGCAGGGACGGGTTATACTGGAATGCAAACCTGTGAAGAAACAGCAGAGGCTGTTATTACCAAACAAACAGACAGCAAGCAGGCTGTGCGGCAGGCAGCTGAGGGTTCTCAGTGTGCCGCACAGGCAGGCAGGGGTTGTGCCGTGCCATCTCTAACATACTTCTGAGCGAGCTCTGTCCACTGGTCCAGCCACTTGCACGTTGGGATATCCCTCATACAAGCCTAGAAAGAATTATATTGTTTGAATACGTGTAACATAAAGAAAAGAGGTTTTTAAAATCCAGAATGTGCAGTTAGGTTAGTTCTCAGAAGTCAGCTACTTCACTATTTATTATCCCATCACGGGGGGCAAATCTCGCTGCACTGTGTGCCTGCACAAGGCGTAAGCAGTGCCGCCTGCCCTGGGAAATCATTCCTCTGGCTTGGAACCACGTACCTCCATGATCTCCAGCAGAGCTTCCGTAACAGTTTCCAGGGAAGTCAGCGCAAAAGTCTCCCTTTCGTAGGAGCCGGGTGAGAACGACCTGTCTCGATAGCTGGACCGGAACGCTATGACTGCGGCTGATTTCACTTTGCTGATTCCAAACAGCAAATAAAATTTGGGCAGAGAGAACTCAGTCAAGCTCAGCCTTAAAACTTGCTTGGTCTCCTCTGTTGAATAAATTTTTACATATTAGATGTAAACCACCGACATGCGCTCCGCATTCTAACCACTCCGAGGCCCCCCCTCCCATGAATAAAAGGCAGATAATCACCCTAGAGGTGATTCCAATTTTCTTTGCTACCTCCCCAAGAGGACACCACAACAACTGGGGCCAGTTGCATGGACTGAAGAAACCAGTCACCAGGAAGAGGTCTTCTGAAAACGGGGGTTTTTAAACTTGTTTAAAGATGTGGTTCTGTGAGACTTCTCCTCACGCTGATTCAGAAAATGGAAACTGGAGAGTTCCTGCTTTGAAATACCAACAGTGCTGTAAGCTCTAACTGCAATCAAATTCTGCTTTTGGCTCTGGCACCGAAATGATGCAAGCCATTTCCATCACAAGACAATGACAGCCCTCCTACTAACACTGAATATTTTTACAATCCTGAACTTTCAGTTCATTTCAGTGTACTTCAAATTCATTGTTTCAACAGCAAGGTTTGCCTTTCCCTCCGGCAAAGGAAAGCTTTTCTTTCTATATATATACATGTGTGTGTATTCACACGTTGTTGCTATATTTAGATACAAAATAAGCTTTCAGACACTTTAAAAACAAAAGAAGACAACATTACATAAATTTTAATATTCTTCCTGAAAAAAATCTAGCCTGGTGCTGTTCTGTAGTACGAAGCGACAGCTACATGTTTGCCAATACCAATTATTTTAGGACTGCTAAAACACAGCCATATGCAAAATACCTGTTCTAACAGTATAGTTTCACAATTCCCTTATGTAACTGATATTTTTGTTACCACATTACGCAACCATTCAAAAGATGCACATCAGCCAGTTTTAGCACAGACATATTCTCTCCTTTCTCTGCATTACAGGAACTTACTGGTATTTTCTTCTCTTTTTCTAAAACCCATTACACAGTTTACATTATGCACCTGCTCTGAACCAGTCAGTAATTTTTAAATTCCATACCCATTTGTTGCAGATCGGATTAGTACGCAAGCTGAATTACAACACGGTATTTCCAAACTCCCAGAGTAGTTTAAAGAGAGAAAGACAACTGAAATACTAATTAAACAAAGCAAGGAGCCATCAGCTTAATTGCAAACATGACAAGAAAACAACTTACCACTGAAGTGAAGCTGTGAACAAGTGCAAAGGGAATGAATGATGTTGATGACGAGGCCATGAGTGGAAGCTCTGAGAGAAAGGGGACCAGTGGCCACCAGTAAAGTGACCACATGGAAGAGGTAGGGGAGATGCGCTGCCACGTCCAGAGAGTTGTTAAAGGAGAGCATGAGCATGTAACGTGCCAGAATGGCGATATCGTCCCACATCAGGTGCTGCTCCAGCGTAGGAGTTGGAGACAGACAAGTCTTGTCGATGATTTTACACATCCTTCCGATCACCTGAAAAGACAGCGACAATCCTGTGTTACTCAAACGAAGAACACGGCTCAAACTTTCAGTAAAAAGCTTTACAGTTCCACGCTGGAGTTATTCTATTGCTTGGAACCCATCCTATCATGGCTTTTGTATTATTGCCTGTACTGAGCTATCAGAAAGCATCTCAGTGCCACATTCCTATCTAAGCTGAAATATAAAAGGAAATTAAGTCAAAGAGGGAACTCACTTTGCTTGAAACCAATTTGACATTTCCAGAGGCGAGCGCTACCGCTGTGTCTGCCATAACCTCAGCTTTTATGGACCCTAAGCCCCCTGTGGCACTAGTTTTGATGAAACTATCCAGCACAACATCAAGGAGGTCTGTTATCTGTTAGAGAAAAAAAAAAAGATCTGGTTTTTATCAGTCAGATTAACTCTATTTTTCCACAGTAAACCACCTTTTAAATCAGCAATCATTCAGCGAGGGCCAGGAACAACCTCCTAGCAGCTAGAGTTCATCAGTGATTCTGTGAAGAATTTTATGGACTGGAAACTTCAGAAGGACTTGCACGCTACTCGCCATACAGCTAATACACGTAGGTGGTGTCATGATTAGTTTTATTTTTCTGCATTAACATTTAACGTGTTTAAGAACTATTATCTGCTTATACAGAAAATGCAACAAATTATGCAGAATTTGTACCTGTCCAAGACTTCCCCATATCTTAGCTTGAATGGAAGGATACATCTGCTTTTCATTTATTGTCATTGTTATCAGCTTATCAAGAATAGCAGTGACTCGCTGGCGCTTGGCATCATCATTGTGTTTACAGAACCGGACGAGATTGGACAGCCAGGGAGTCATATACTCCAGACAAAGATGTTTCAGTTCAATACCTGAAACAACAACAACAAAAAAATCACTCTTTAACACAAAATTCACCTCTGGTCTTGATTTGTAAGTAAATAATTATTTGCGAGCACTTTTCCTTTCCGTTTTATTGTCCAAAGTAATTACTAGCAGAGCTGAACAGATAACACTGGGCAGACAGACAGGCTTCAAAAGGAAACGCGCTCTGGTAACGACAGCCAGGAACCAGCCGCCCGGAGATGGTGACATTTCAGCACACAATGATGTGTACCTTCAGCGTTAGGTGGGACTGCTCAAGATAAATGCTTTTTAAATCTTGAGAACGTATTCTCAGCAGGTCCCAGCAGTACAGTCAGAGCTGTATTACAGCTGAGAAAAAACGATGACCGGAGCGCAACAGTTCTAGAGATGTACAATTGAGAGACGTAATCAAACTGAAAAGATTCATTTTGGTATGACTGAAGATCCCTGTAACGGCTCTGGGTACATATATTCTAGAGTTCAAACCTTTTCTACCATGGAACTCAAATTTTGATTTTTGTTCTGCAATATCTTCTGCTTCTGGTGAATCAACAACGTGACAGAGATCTACCTAAAGTACTTGCTGCACAAAACTATTGGAGGTGATATGGAACAATTTGTATTGCGACCTCTCCGAATTAACTTAATCCTCTAAATGAAAGACAAGTCTAGTAAAACTTGCTTTAGCATTAATTTCAAAGTTTAAAAGGCAGTTGCTTTTTTTTTTTTTTAAAATCAACTTCACAAGAAAGGAAAGGGCACATTCAAATGTGAAAAGTAATGTTTTTGTTCCAACAGATGCCGTTCCAGTTTGTGAAACTGCCTGGCTCCAGAGCATGACTCAGCCTCGTTATTAAGAAACAGATCGAGACGGATAACCTTAAGAACAGCTAAAGCAGCTCCAAGGAGCATCTGCAATTTCAACTTCTTGTGACTCAGTAACATGAGGAAGCTTAACTGACCAAGCGAGGCAGCCACCAACTTAAATCTTTTCAAATAGGCGGTTAGCGTTAAGGAATACCAGTGTTACTTACTAGATTTGCTAAATCCAGAAATACACTCTTCCAAGAACTCTAAGGTAAGGTGGGGTTCGTTAGCTGCAAGAGTCTTACTAATAGATACAATAAAGAGCGTGTTGTTGGCAGGAATACAGAGACCTGAAGTTTCCAGTAACTGGCCTTCAATCTTTAAATTAAAGGTACAGGTTAAGGCACAGAGAAGATTATAGGCAGCAGACCTGAAACGAAGCAAGCAACGTGACTTGTAACGGTTTTCTTGTGCAGTTAAAAAGATATACATTACACCCAGGCATCACAGCAGTGGTACTGACATTTTAAAAAACAAATCAATACTGCTACACAAGAGATTGCATTTAAATCCTGAACTTTCCCCTGCACTAGTCCAGCTTCAGAGACAAAAACATTTGCTTTGGAGAAATGAAAGAAATTACTCCTCCACCCGCTTTAAGCAATTTCTGAAGAGGCTAAAGAGCACACTTGAAGAACTTTATAGTGGACTTCTCAGAAGTGCCTTTGGTTCCAGGAAATTCTGAGTATTTCCAGGTGCACCCGAGCTGCCGGAGGACAGAGAGCTGAGGGCCCTGGAGCCAGCGCCCGCCTGAGACAATCCCTCCCGACAGCATCCCCCAGCCCGCAGCTCCCACGGTGCTGAACGAGAAGTTCGACACCATGAAAATCAGGAGTACCTGCTAAACACATATTGCAGAGCAGAAGTGTTTTCCTTATCAAAAGAAATTAAGCTTCCTATATGCCTTCGGTTACTCTGACAGTACGCACATCTTTCTTCACCGACAAAAACTTAATCTTTCTTTATATTAAAAAAGGACATTAAAAAAGGTCTAGTCGAGAGGTGGCGTCCCTGCCCAAAACCGGGAGGTTGGACTAGATGATCTCTAAGGTCCCTTCCAGCCCATGCCATTCTATGGTTCTATGATTCTATGACATTTTAAGGAGCTCTGGTGCAAGAAAATGGTTTGGTTCAAGGGAGGTTCACTAACACTAAGAAAACCTTGAAAACAGTTCATGCTTTTGACCCAAGCTGATATGAATTGAGAGGATATGTACCGCAGGCTGGGGTCTGAGCTTCCCAGGTTGAGCAGCGCGATGTTCAGCAGCGTTCCAGGGACGTCCTTGGGACGGATTTTGGTGTGCTGGGGGATAGAGTCTGGCTGCGACAGCTCCCACCGCGTCCGGATATGAATGATGGACCGAACGATGGCTTCACACTCCTGGTGCATGAAGGTGAGCGGCGTGCCTTGGTTGGCAATGGTTAAGGTAAACTGGTTCTCATCAACGAGGCATATTTCCTCGATTTCAGAGGCGTAGTATATGTCATTTAAAAACACCGTTTGTCCCAGGACTCTTGTTCGTTCTGCTGATGTCACCTGAACCGTCCCGCTGTCGACCCAACCTTAGAAAGAGAACAGAAACACAGTTCAACACCCATTATTAACAATAAAAAGAGAGAAAAGCCTGAAACTACTCATTTTATAAAGATAAATGCACAGAATTTTATGCTTCCTAAAGAAGCTGTGATTCCTCCTCCAGACAGGAGAGGAGAATTAAGAGACAGTAAAATCATATTCAAGTCCTTACAAAAATAGAACATCAGAAGGACTTACTTTAATAGAAACTTTGGTGTCCTTATGAGCCAGTTTGAGAGCATTGTGGAACACTTTCAAGTCCTCCTCCAAAGCCAAGGTAGCTGCTGGGAGTTTCTGCTGGTCGTGCTCGATGTGCTCTGCCAGTTTCCCTGGAGAGTCTATGAAAATAAGCCTTTTGCTTCCTTTCAAACCTGTCAAGAGCCTTTCATGGTATTTGGTGTATTCTCTGACCCAAGAGTTACAGTTATAAATAAAAACTGCCGAGACATTTTCATAAGCAAAGCCTGGAAAAACTACAAACCATTTAGAAAGAAAGTCTGTTTTAAAGCGATTACTGGGGCCAGCGTGTGTGAGGTCCACTACAATTTCGTATGGCTTTGCATAGTATGGCTTCAGAGTTAGCAGGACGTGGTATATCAACAAATCTCCGTTGATCTGACCGGTCTTGAATCTGTAAGAAAGCAAAACAGACACTGCTGGTTGGCATTTTCGATCCACGTTACGGACATTTGTGCATTACACACTACTGCTCCACTAAATCAGACTGATCTTTCTCACAGGTCTAAAAATACCCTCGATCCAAAGCACCGATGCTGGGCTGGCAGCTACAGCCTAAAGGCGTCTGTTCCTGTTCTCCTTTCATAATTCTCTCTGGTTTATGAGACTGGACAGCGCCTCTGCCTAAAACAAGTCTCCTGAGTTGGCACAGCAGACAAAATTCTACTAAACTGAGTAATACTAATAGAACTAAATAAAAATCAAACTCAACCGTAGCTCATGAACATTTAATTTTTAGATCTACTTTTCCATACCTAGCCCTGTTTCAGGCTACCTTTAACTCAACTCTCTCAAGGCGAACCAGCAGCTGACAAAGACACTGCTCTGGGTAACCTTCGAGGCAAAGCACCAGGTGTAGGTAACTGTGGAGATGAATGTCACAAATGTAGAATATTTGTCTGCCAAAGATATTCTTTCCCCCTGTGTTACTTCCTGTTGTTCTGAGAGCTAATTTGGGCAAGTTGGTGTTTTTCCCCCTCTACCGTGTCATGGTATAGTTGGTACCAAAAGGAAGCGTGTCATCTCTGTGGTTTTAGTTCTCCACTTAGAGTAAACGACATATAATTTCAGTTACAGATTTGCTTAAAAAATACCAGCAGTGCCTAAATCTACTTGCTTTACGTTAATGGTCGCTTGCATGCGAAGAGCAAATACACACACAAAGAAATTTTATTTTTACAAGACTAAATATCTGAAACGACAGCTTTCTTTTGACTACAGCTCGGCACGGTAAGTACGTGTTTTCCTTCTCCTATTTCAAGTCCCACTTCAAAGTTTCTTAGCTTTTGTAGAAAATTATATGCGAAAGTATTTTAAAAGAAGTTCAAGTAACTCGAAAGCAGTAATAATCTGTACAAGTACTATCTCCAACTGAATGAAGGCAGCTGATATAACTGTATTTTAATAATGTTAAGGGTTATTCACAATCAGAAGAAACAACAGCACCGGTCGGTGCTTAGCTCTGGCGTTCCTGCGCCACGCAGACGTGACTGTGCGCCCACAGGAGACCCTATCGATGCCCGGGCACAAAGGCTGAGACTAAAAAGAAGAAAACCAGCTCTTAAATGATCAGTTCCCTCACTCACATGATTTTAAATGAAGTCCGTAATAACATCAGTTTATTTATTTTTAAGAAAAGCACATCTGGTCTAGAACGCTACAACTAACACTGGACTTCTTGTGCTCTTGCGGGGAGTAAGCTTAAAGAGAGTTGCAACTCTCAGAGAACAGCATTAAATGCTGGAGTATATCTGTTCTGGCAAATGTATCTCAGCTCTGCACCTCGTGCACAAACCAGCTTTGCCTGTTCTGGTTTTTTTCCAAGGCATCCTCCAGGCAACCTTTACCATAAAGATAAAAATTCTCCCTGAGCTGCAGTTGATTACTAAGACGGTTTCCAGTTCAAACTTAACAATAAGGATTCATCTCAGAATGGAGCTTAATCTTACGTTACGGGTGAGCTCCGACACGTGGGCAAACTAACTTTTGACTAGGAGAAAAGTAAATATTGCGTGGAATATTTCAACATGACCTAATGTTACAAATGTACAGATATGCTTTGGCTACCCTTAAAGCAAAAGCTTCAAGAACAAATGTGTTCATAAAAATAGCACCACCGCTTTTGGTCATTCTCTAGAGGACTTATATTGAAACCAAATGTAGCCTGTAGCATTCGAAGGGAACATTTAGTTCTATCAACAGAGGCAGGTGAAAGAGAGACACTGGATGGGACAAAAAGCCTTAAACTCTGAACATGTCTCGTGCAAACTGGACAAAGAGCAGCACTGAAGCGCTTCACTGCTGCTTCTCTTCTCTGGAGGTTATTCTCCTAGTATCAGACTGACCTCAAGCTCAGTTTCCAGCCCTCCAGACTAATTCAAAATAGAAATCTGAATACTACACGAATGTGAAACCGGACATACTAATGGTAATATCATTTGCATAATCATCTCAGGCATTTTAAAGAAAATGTCACAATCTGCAGCATGTTTGTGATAAAAATTTGAGAAGAACATTTGCGATAAATAGCCTTCTGTACGATACAGCAGGAAAAGTAGAGAACAAAGACTTTCCGAGGCATTTATGAAATACTCCAGACAGCTGTGCTAAGAAATACAGACAATTAAAATAAGTTACTGCTGTCACTTGCAGGGAGAGTTTGAAGTTTTCCATCTGACCACCTGTGCGAGCACAGCTCCGGTTCAGGGGAATACGGGAAAGTCTGAGGCAGTCATCTGTGAGCTTTGCAGGGCTTTCTCCTTTCATGGTGTAAAAGCAGAAGTGACGAAGCTGCAGTTCTAATAAGGGCAGCTTTAAAGAGGAGGAACTACCGGAGCCTGCCCCTGCATCACTGAGTAGGAAACACTTGCCTTTCTCTCTTTGTTTCATGCTCTTTTTAAATCTCCGTATATTTCCTGTAAGCCTCAAGCTGTCAGAAGTTTGAGACAAGCTATTCTTTCAGAGTATCAAGCACTTGAACTCTTCCTCCTACATCCACTAGAAATGAGGTCAAGTCACATATTTTTTTCATCAAAAATGCCATTGCCTACTATTCCCTGAGAAGTCCAATTCAAACCTCTAGGAACCAGCATTTGCGAGACTAATACTGTCATTTGTATTGTTGCAGGTGACTAAAACAGGAAGATGAAGGCCAAGAGACTTAATAAACCACACTTTGCCTTTCCTGTCATAATAATCTCTTCTTTGTGTTTGCAAACAAGTGCAATCCCTACCGATTATCCCAGGGTTATGAACGAAACCTGGAATCATATCACCCAAATCCCGAATGGAAGCCAGAACACAACAGAAGCCAATACAAAATCCTCCCTGAGCATCAATTTCGGCAGCCAAACTACTACTTTTGAAATGCAGCCAAGTACCGTGCAGCCCTTACCCTGCACAAAGGCCCAAAACTCAACATCTTCCCCCGCCAGCAGTGCTGTTCCTGCCACCGGAGCCGGGAGCACCCGCAAACCCAAGAGTACGACGACCAAAGAAACGTGTGAAGACAATAAGTCTCTTATACTGATTTGCTTCATTGTCATAGCCATACTGGTGCTCATCTGCACCTTCTTATTCCTGTCGACGGTCATAATAGCCAACAAAATGTCGTATCTCAAAAAAACTCAGCAAGGAAAACGGCGGGCCAGGAGCAACGGCGATATTCTGGCGACAAACAGTTTATGGCCGACCGCGGCAGGAACGTGGCAGAAGATGCTCAAGGACACAACTGGAAGTGACGTGATAATGCAAGACTTGGTATCGGGGAGAGATGCTATGATCCAAAGGAAAACCCAAGATGAAACTACTGAGAAGCTCACAAAAGAAACAGATAACCAACAGGAGAACAAAGAATCATCCAAGTCACAGAAACCCATTTTAACCAATTTTGTAGTTGAGATTTAATTCCTGCTCAGGTAAAAACTCATTTTTTGCCTTCTTTACATCATTAATATAAGGCAAAAACTTAGCTTTCAAGTAACAACATGAAGTTTTAACCCAGGAAAGCTAAATTCAGATTCTAGGCGTTTTTCATTTATGATAGTGGGAATGCTGTAGCAACTTGTAGATCTAGAAGGTAAGATGTGTTAAATAGCTTTCTATAAATAGCGTCAAGATTGGTTTTACTCCTTTGCCCAGAAATCATGGTGACAGGAGCTGAACAGGACAGAAGTCTGCCTGTTCTCAAAGATCATTAGGGAAGAGGGGAAAAAAGAAAGGAGGAAAAAAAAGAAAAAAAAGGGAAGGCCTTAGACTAGCAACTGAATTATACCATAAAGGGCTACACAAGAATAACCAAACTGCTTTTTTAAGAAAACCATAATTCAGCCACAACTTTGATGCAAGTACTGAATCAGGAACTAGTCCCTCTCAAAATGCCCTTTCAGGTTTTTCCCTCAAGGACTTCTTAAACCAGCTTAATTGCTTCTAAACCACATTGAGATTTGAATCATATTTATTGTGTTTTGACTTTGTGTATGAATATGTGAAGTTTGTATTACATGTTAAAATATGAGAACCGTTTCAGTTTATCTCCAATAAACTAGCAACATCAGTTTTTAAATGACTTTTGTGATACTACTTCTCTAAGTCAAAATATTACACAATGCATTTTGGAATATTATACTCCAGTAACACCTGCTGAAGGTCAGTAACGACTACCTGTGATTTCTTGTCTCACAGTAACACACTCCACTGTGTCCTAATGCAATTAGAGCACACCCAAAATCTCTTCAAAACCACCACGACTTCGAGTTCCTTTACTGTCAGAGACCCAATTTTCTCACACTTCTGGGGAGATGTCCGTGCCTGGTCTCACTACAGCAGAGCTTTGTTATTCTGAGGAAGCACAAGCAGCTTTTCCCAGGCTACCTGTCGGGTTCAAGGAGATCTGTCACACCACGGTTATGAGTGCTAAAACTACACAATGACAAAGCTCTAAACATCCTGCACATCTGTCACATTTTTGGTCACAAGAAATGGCTGCATGACTCTGAAAGAGGCAGGATGTAAGAGTGGATCCCTAATTCCTATCTCATTGCATCACCCATACACTTGGCTGCAAGGGCAAGTAAAGCAGCAGCAGAGAAGGGAGAGGACACTATTTGTGGAAGCCAAGAAGTGCCAGATGTCAAAGAATGCAACTGCCCCTCTCAAAGGTGGTTTGTGTAGTAGGCAGGATAAAGTTGGAAGGAGTTTGCAACTTTAGCCCACAGCCAGGAGTCATTAGAAAATAATTTCAGTGGAGATGGGGAAAAAACTCTGGCAAATTCCACTGAATCTGCCACAAAGCACACATTCAGACCTCAGAGGTCGAAGGGAGGAGGTGCAATGCAGCGTGCAAGTAGAATAGCAGGACGGGGGTTATGTCAGGCATTTCTAAAACACGAGGAGAACGGTCAGAAGAATAAGAACCTCCAGATCAGTGATGGCAACCTAGTACTTAGCAGAGAGGAACTGAGAACATCTCACAAGGGTGACAGAAAGAGCTAAAGGGCTGAGCGGGGGGATGCTGCACTGCTGTTACTTTCTCCTCCCCAAAAACACCATGAGCATGAGAGGCAACAGCAGAAACTGTGCAAGTACGAAAAAAAAAAAAAAGGCGAGATAACAATCGTGAGACTCTAACCTGGTGTAAAACTGCTCACAGCTCGAAAGGTAACAGAGCTACAACAGGAGAACGAAGCTGTGAGCGCTGGCTGGTGTGCACACAGGAACACAGGAAGCTGTGAGAACGCAGATTAAAGGGGTAACCCAGCGGTGTCACGAATAAAGCAGGGAAAAAAGGAAAGAATCACAATCATATCAGTAAAAGGAAGGAAAAAGGAACCGTCAATGAGTTGGGAAAAGAAAGCTGTTAATGTGGTGGGAACTGTGGCAAAACATAGGCAGAGACTAGAAGGGTTGAAGAGAATGGGGATGAGATAAAGGGATGGGAAAAGAAACCGTGAGCTATAATGTGCCTATGGGATCAGGATTTGCACTTGCTGCAAGAGCAGAGAGGGTCTGAAAACGAGAAGTAGTGCAATCAGGAGAGGCACCACAGGAAAAGCAGGAGGAGATGAAGAAGGATCTGGCAGTAGCTGCACAGAACACGCTTGCAAAATGCCACGAGGACCCATGGGTGCAGGCTCCTTTCTGCCTGGCAGCCTTGCTAGGCAAAAACGCTCAAGGAGACAAAAGAAAGTGCTCTGGGTTGCATGAAATGGTAAGGACAAAGACAGACCGCGGAAAACCGCTGCTCAGGGAGCACAGCTCTCTGTTAGCCATGGCAGCAGGCACTGAGGCTGCCCAGATGGAAAAATAACAGGAAGAGCAGGGGCAGGAGAGGGGTGAAATCTGTAGTTACCCGCCTTTAATGCAGCTGCACAAGTGAAGGAGCGTAAGCAGGCCAGCGTCCTGTGAGCAGGTAACGCTGGGACCGACTCTAACGAATCCATGGCTGCCTTCCCACCAATAATCAGCACAGTGCACCAAACCTGATTTAACTGAAGTTAAATCAGGGAGAGTCAAACCCAGCCCAAACTTGCGTAATTTTGCCTCACACAGAACTATAACTATTTTGAACAAAGTCAGGCAAGCAAGTATTTATGATTTTTTACACAATAGGCACATACTGGACAAAAGCCACAAAAGCTGAGTTTTATAAAAAGACCAGAGATGAAAAATTTGCTCGGAAAGCACACAATCTGTGAAATAAGCCTCTTAGTAATCTCCCTACCCTTGACGCTTCCTGCGGCAAGGGTTGGTAAACTTCCTCTTGCGCTGCAGAAACCTACTTCAACATGAAACGAGCCATTTTAAGCTCCCTGACTTGCAGCGCACACTCTCTCTTCCCAAGGCTTCGGACAAAAAGAGTTAAGACGGTGCTTGCTTAATAGAAGATAAATGTGCAGGTAAGAATCACCTTAAAGATGGAAATGCTTAATATTTGTATGACTCGGTCTGAGATGGAAGCGCACAGGGCACTGCCCTGGGTATGTCGCGACTTCAGGGTGTGTTCAGAGCTCTCGCTGAACGCCGGGATCTTAAAAGCGTTGGGGATTCAAACACAAATTGTTTGATGTTGTTACTCTGAACAATCACAAACTCCACACCTAAGTATTAGCTGACTGTATTCTGAAAAGAGGGGAGCAAAAGAAGAATCATTTTGAATTATATTTTACCTGTTATAAACCTTACAGAGTCTTGGTCATAACATTCTCAAGAAGAAGCATTAATATACTAATCGTGTTTACCCTGTCACATCTGAAATTTAATTTTGTGTATTTGTAAACCCACAAAGATTTATGCATATTAATTTCCCAGAGACAGTTTCCCATGGCTAGTGTTATAGTAACTAAAGATTTAAGTTTAAATTGCATAAAAGTAACTCCAGATACAGAACTGCTATGCGGTTGGATGTATTTTATATCATTTATTTCACATGGAGACATTCAGAGACCTGAACTCTAAACGGTACAGGAGAAAAGAGAAATGTGTTTCACACCAACAACAGAATCTCCTCCATTACAAAGAAAAGTTTCACACGCAGGAATGGATTTATAAAAGTGGTTTAACACCAGAATGCTGTTCCATTACAGCATCAGCATTTGGAAACTTCACTGCTGCAAGTGTTTCGTATTTTGTTGCAGGTCCGTAATGATTTACACAATTGGCAAGTGCTGTTATTGTGACACAGTCAGGACTTCTCTGCTGATGCCTTTTTCTGATAAGGTGAAAAAAGGGAACAATAATCAAGAGTCACTTGGTTAGAATGATCAATAGTGTTGAAAATCTGCTTTTGTTTGTGAAGTCAGGGACAAACCTGCTGACTGTGCGAACAGGAACAGGCACGAAGCTTTAACCATTGGCTCCAACACGATTTTGACTGCTATGGTATTAACTCAAAATTTTCTGGCGTCAGTGCAGTGCGACAATACAACTGAACACGGTTTTCAGGTTAATGTGTTCTCTCTCACTCCTGCTATAGGACAGGACACATTTAAGAGGCTGCAGGAAAATGTCAAGGAACCAAGTAATACTGGTTCTCTTCTATGGAGGAATCTGGAAATCGCTTTCTACAGCCCTTCCTCAAGCCGGCTCCATGAGTCCAAGGAACGCATACACCAGCACTGGGAGCCCAGCAGGAGACCAAGCTCCCCCGTATCGACTGCAAGCAACTGGGCCCAGTCTACACAGGTCTGGCCGGGCACTGGCTCTTCCAACACCATCCCAGTTCCCCGACACATACGCAGAACCCAGCGACGGAAGCTGGGTAGCAGCACTGCTAATTGGCATCATTTTGCTTAGTATGATACTGGCTATTATCATCATTCTTGTGTGGAAAGGCTGCAAGAGGCCCGTTCTAGTTGATTCCATTTGGGCAGGCCGTTCTCCATTCGCCGATGGAGACACACCAGATGTCTTTATGGACTCCGACCAGGCCCCCAAACGTTCATCAGTTTTATTTACGCTGCCTTGGAAATCCAGACAAGACAGCTCCTTAGAGCAGGGTCCCGCAGCAC